GCACGTTTTGTGGTCCCATAGGGAGTTCCACCGAAGGCCCCAGTGGGTGTGCCCGCATGCGTCCCGCACACCCATTTCGGCACACCCCTCGTACGTTTCGTGGCCCTGTAAGGGGCTCCACCGAAGAAGATATCCACAACTGCGGTACTCACAATTGCATATGGTTGGGCCCTTCGCCAGGATAACTTTCTATACATTGAGGCATTGTCGGGGTAGTTGTTCCCAACCATCCTGTGGTGCTGGGTCCTCGTTTTGCAAAAAAAAAAAAAAAAAAAAAAAAAAAAAAAGGTCCCCCGTCCTCCTCTCCTCCTCTGCACCCTCCTCCTTGCTGCCGCCCGCATGCGTCACCCACACCCAATTCGGCACACCCCTCACACGTTTCGTGGCCCCATAGGAGCTCCGCCGAAGGCCCCAGTGCTGCCGCCCGCATGCGTCACCCACACCCAATTCGGCACACCCCTCACACGTTTCGTGGCCCCATAGGAGCTCCGCCGAAGGCCCCAGTGCTGCCGCCCGCATGCGTCACCCACACCCAATTCGGCACACCCCTCACACGTTTCGTGGCCCCATAGGAGCTCCGCCGAAGGCCCCAGTGCTGCCGCCCGCATGCGTCACCCACACCCAATTCGGCACACCCCTCACACCCCGCCCGCAGCGGTCACCGTGGCCCATAGAGCTATGCTGCCGCCCGCATGCGTCACCCACACCCAATTCGGCACACCCCTCACACGTTTCGTGGCCCCATAGGGAGCTCCGCCGAAGGCCCCAGTGCTGCCGCCCGCATGCGTCACCCACACCCAATTCGGCACACCCCTCACACGTTTCGTGGCCCCATGGGAGCTCCGCCGAAGGCCCCAGTGCTGCCGCCCGCATGCGTCACCCACACCCAATTCGGCACACCCCTCACACGTTTCGTGGCCCCATAGGGAGCTCCGCCGAAGGCCCCAGTGCTGCCGCCCGCATGCGTCACGCACACCCAATTCGGCACACCCCTCACACGTTTCGTGGCCCCATAGGGAGCTCCGCCGAAGGCCCCAGTGCTGCCGCCCGCATGCGTCACGCACACCCAACTCGGCACACCCCTCACACGTTTCGTGGCCCCATAGGAGCTCCGCCGAAGGCCCCAGTGCTGCCGCCCGCATGCGTCACGCACACCCAATTCGGCACACCCCTCACACGTTCGTGGCCCCATAGGGAGCTCCGCCGAAGGCCCCAGTGCTGCCGCCCGCGTGCGTCACGCACACACAATTCGGCACACCCGTCACACGTTTCGTGGCCCATAGGGGGCCCCGCCGAAGGCCCCAGTGCTGCCGCCCGCATGCGTCCCGCACACCTACCCCTTACACGTTTCGTGGCCCCAGAGGGAACTCTACCGAAGGCCCCAGTGCTGCCGCCCGTATGCGTCCCGCACACCCAATTCGGCACACCCCTCGCACGTTTCGTGGCCCCATAGCATCGCCGAAAGCCCCAGTGTTGCCGCCCGCATGCGTCACGCACACCCAACTCGGCACACCCCTCACACGATTGTGGCCCCACAGGGAGCTCCACCGAAGGTCCCAGTGGGTGTGTCCGCATGCGTCCCGCATATTCATGTCGGCACACCCCTCACACGCTTTGTGGCCCCATAGCGAGCTCCACCGAAGGCCCAGGTGTTGCCGCCCGCATGCGTCCCGCACACCCATTTCGGCACACCCCTCACGCGTTTCGTGGCCCCATAGGGAGCTCCGCCGAAGGTCCCAGTGGGTGTGCTCGCATGCGTCCCGCACACCCATTTCGGCATACCCTTCACACGTTTCGTGGCCCCATAGGGAGCTCCACCGAAGGCCTCAGTGGGTGTGCCCGCATGCGTCAGGCACACCCATTTCGGCACACCCGTCACGCGTTTCGTGACCCCTCACACGTTTCGTTGGCCCATAGGGAGCCCCACCGAAGGTCCCAGCGGGTGTGCCCGCATGCGTCCCGCACACCCATTTCGGCACACCCCTCGCACGTTTCGTGACCCCGTGGGGGGCTCCACCGAAGGCCCCAGTGCTGCCGCCCGCATGCGTCCCGCACACAAATTTCGGCATACCCTTCACACGCTTCGTGGCCCCATAGGGAGCTCCACCGAAGGCCCCAGTGGGTGTGCCCGCATGCGTCCCGCACACCCAACCCGGCACACCCCTCACGCGTTTCGTGACCCCTCACACGTTTCGTGGTCCCATAGGGAGCTCCACCGAAGGCCCCAGTGGGTGTGCGCGCATGCGTCCCGCACACCCATTTCGGCACACCCCTCGTACGTTTCGTGGCCCCAAAGGGAGCTCCACCGAAAGTCCCAGCGGGTGTGCCCGCATGCGTCCCGCACACCCATTTCGGCACACCCCTCACACGCTTCGTGGGCCCATTCGTGGCCCCGTAAGGGGGCTCCACCGAAGGTCCCAGCGGGTGTGCCCGCATGCGTCCCGCACACCCATTTCGGCACACCTCTCACACGTTTCGTGGGCCCATAGGGAGCTCCACCGAAGGTCCCAATGGGTGTGCCCGCATGCGTCCCGCACACTCATTTCGGCACACCCCTCACACGTTTCGTGGCCCCATAGGGAGCGCCACCGAAGAAGATATTCACAATTGCGGTATTCATAATTGCATATGGTTGGGTCCTTCGCCTGGATATTTTTTTCGTCGACAATCCCCGTGTAGGGGGACACGCCCGACTTAAGATTAGGTCGTACACAACGCAGGTGGATGGCACGACGGATGGGGGTTTAAACTCACAGGCGAGATTCGTGTGAAGCGTGAGGCAGCACGTTGGCAAGCACGCCTGCAGACGAGGAGCCTGGAGCTGCACGTGGTGGCAGCGCACGACACCTCCTATAATTTTCGATCCCTGGGGAACAGTTGCATATGATGGCAAGGCCCTTCGCCGTAGTATTTACTTTCTTTTCGGTTAATGAGGCTCTTGGCTTCTGCTGGTCTGCCCTTCACCGCTTCGAAAACCAAGGAGGACGGAGGTAAGGGCGGGGGCGGAGGGGGAGGAGGATGGGGGGAAGAAGAGGGAAGAGGCGGGAAACGCACACACAGCTCAGACCGACCCCGCCCCGACCTTCTTAGACGCACGCGTTCTCGCCGCAGCGGATGTCTTACATGGTCTCCACTGCGGTGGCGCTCATCCTCGCCAGGATGAAGCCTCCGGTTGGGCCCTCACCTCGGCATCACATCGGAGACTTGCTCAACCCCCGAGGCTTCCCTGGACACGCACTCTTAGATCCAACAAGTTGTTCAATTGTGGAGCCTGCCCTCAAGGAGCGCCCCCTCCTGGGAGTGCAACCTCGGAGCCTGTTCTAGGCCGCCACAGGTGTTTGCTGTGGTTGAAAAGTTGATTAGAACACCAGAAGTCTACTGAGGGCCACCTCGTGCGCTTGGTCATCACCAGCTGCATCATCTCGCATTTAGAAGGCGCTGGCCTCGTCAGGAAGATTCTCCAGCTCCTCCTCCCTGCTCATCACCAGCATTGTGCCTCCCTTCGCGGCTCCGAGCGGCACTGGAGCTCAAGTTCTTTCGAAACCACATAACGCGCGTATGTGGTGGGTGGGTGGGTGGGCGGGTGGGTAGGTTCGCTGGTATATAACATAACACGTAACGCGCGCACTACGAACAGTGCCTGTGCGCTAAACACCAGGCGCTGATGCAACGGGGATGGGTGAAGCGGAGGGCGTTATGTCATCTACTGAGCGGGCGGGTGGGTTGGAGGCCACATAACGCTCGGTATGTGTTCGAGTATTAAGAACTTCAGCTCCTGCAACTTCCAAGTTTGCCGAGACTCGAACTCCCAGAAGTCACTCTGCGCCTGAGCCACGTTTAGAGGGAACTTGCTGAGGAGGCAGAGGAGAAGGAAGTGGAGAGGGAGGAGGAGGAGGAGGAGGAGAAGGAGGAGGGGGAGGAGAAGGAGTAGTAGAAGGAAGAGGAAGAGGCGGAGGAGGAGGAGGAGGAGGACGAGGAGGGAGAGAGCGCGGAACCGGCGCCTGCCAAGCGCCAGTCGGCGGCGAGTGGGCGACGTGGAGTGGGAAGGCGACGCCGGCGGCTCGCACGAGGACAGAGGAGAGAGAGGATGACGACGACGAGGAGGTGGAGGGAGGAGGCGGAGGTGGCCAGTCCCCGCAAGACAGGGCGGGCTCAATCGGGGATGTCCAAGATGTTGGGCGTCTTTGGGCGCAGGGAGCCCGAGCAGGCGGGCTTCAAAGGCCCTCATCGAAATACGGGTGCCCAAGGGCTCAAAACTCGGGTCGAAACTCCTGGCCTAGACTGGGGGGGGAAACAAGTCTCTGCTGGCCGCACCGGGTCACCTTCAACCTGCCAGGCCACGGCGCAGTTCAGAGAAGAGGAGGCGAAGGAGGAGAAAGACAGGGTGGAGGTCGCCGAGATCTGCAAATGTACCAGTTGTTTCGATCTCCCACATTCGCGCCGCATTGCTGGGCGCCCGCGTTCCTGTAGGAAAGCACCTGCAGGGGCCCTGTTTGCGCAGCCTTCTCTGCAACTTCGGCAGCGACCGATTCCTCCTGGACGCTCTCGAAACGGGAAGCGAGCTGGACCAGAGGAGAACACGGATGAGCATGAAGAGAAGGAAGAGGAGAAGGAGGAAGAAGAGGAGCAGAAAGAGCTTGAGGAGGACCTCCACGATCCCCATCATGCTCTCCCCATCCCCTCCCCCTTTTTCACCCGTCTCCCTCTCGGCCTCCCCTTGACCATCCCCACGGGGGAAAGAAGAAGAAGAGGAGGAAGTGAACGGAGGAAGAGGGGAAGATGGGAGAACGCGGGAAGGAGGAGACGAGAGCCAGAGGAGGAGGAGGAGGAGGAGGAGGAGGAGGAGGAGGAGGAGGAACCATCCGCAGTCTCAGCCTCCCAAGCGACGACTGGGGCGCGGGCACGCAGTGGACCCTTTTCACAGAGGCGCGGAGGCAAGAACACGCATCCCCTGCCTCCTCCTCATCCTCCGCCTACTCGTCGTCGTCCTCTTCCTCCACCTCGACAACAACAGCAGGGTACCAGGGCGCCCAACTTCGCGCTCTCGCGCCGCCCCCCAGGGGAGAGAAGGACGAGGAGGAATCCGAGCCGAACCGCGAAGCGCGAACAACTTCGCGCCCCCGAGGGCGCCCTTGAGGGTACGACACGTTGGCTGGTCTTGCGGCATTTGTATGCTCAGGACTTGGGGCTCGACCACCTGAGGATGGAGCTGAGCAGGTCGGGCCCCACCGGTGCCGGAGGGTATAGGTCGACCTACCAGGATTGCCTGCCATCACGCTCTACACGGTTCACCTGCACGCGGGTGCCGGCGCAGGCGGCGCGAATGCGCCCATCCTCGCAGCACTAGGTAAAAGCATGAAGCTGATCAAGGGTCCTGCTTTTGCCGTCTTCTGAATTTCCTGTGATGGCTGAGCTGTGCCTTGGCGCCAGCGGTGCCGACGATTTTTCCGCTGCATCAATGCCCTCATGAGAGGTTTCTGTGAGCTCATAAGTAGAGATGCGCTGGACGGTCAGACCCTCAGAGAGTCCATCTGTCTAGCAAAGACAGGTAACGGATATGTGCTCCGTCACTTACAGGATCCCGCCGGACCCAAGGAACGGTAACTCAGGAACGAAGCCCCTTTTTTCAAAGTGAATCTACGAAATCCGAAGGAACGGCCGAGCCCCTTTGATAAAACGAACCCGCGCGTCCAAAATCTGAATGATCACCAGGGGGCTCGCCGCCAAAAAGGTAGCGGAATGCATGCAAACCAAAAGAACGACAGAGCCCCTTTGTAAAAGCAAGTGTTCCTTATTCAAGCCGGATCCTGTAGTCTACTGGGTGACCCCGTGCTGCCCAAGGATTTCCCAATATGGCCTGCTCCTGAAGCCACCAGCTGGAACGCGGAGCTGAGCCTTGTCGAGAGCGCCTGCGAGGCGTCTTATGATCCTGGGATGTCCGTCTAGGATGCTTGGGCTCTTTTGTCGACGGCTTGGGGGGCGTTTTGCCACCACAGCCGCGAGGTACTTGGGAGAGCGTTCTGGAAAGCATATTTCTAAACCTGGGTCCTTCGGGCGAGGTCTAAGGCACGGTGGGTCGAATGATTCGGTACGGCGAAACAGAGCAGTGATGTGGAAGCAGCCGCCGACGGCTGGAAGTGGCTCGAAAACGCTGTCGGTCAGGTGTTGTTTTTGTTCGCGATCTGCCGACTCCCAACATAACCAAACGATTATTTCACATGAAATCTCGATGTTTAAATGATGTTCCTAAACTTGAACTACATGCTCGATCAGAGCGATCGGCCACCACGGCCAGGCAATTTGTCAATGATGAAATAGACGTAAAAGCTCTACCCAGTTATTTTAGCTGACATCGAGGCCGATGTCGAGTACGCTGTCACAAAGGAGCCCACGGAACAATCTGATTTTTGGAAGGACTGGTGCGAAGCAGCGAAGGCTGTCGGGTCTAGAGTTTTCCATAAAATGAAGGCCCACAAGCAAATTCGTTCAACCACTATTGTGCAGGAACCAGCGGGACCCGCAACTGACACGGTCAGCATTTTTAGGCAAGACGTTTTGTTGTATGGGAAGCTCTTGGAAGGCTCCGCTCAGACTCCAAGGGCTTGGGTCCCCGACTGTTCCTGTCTTGAGCGAAATTCGGCGGCGTCGCTCTGAAACGTAGGTCGCGATTCTTTCTAGAAGTACCTCCAGCAACCTTGATCATCTCCATCCCCGTTTCGTCCTTGCGTTGGACGGCAATGGATCTGAGGTTCAAAATGCACTGCGGAAGTGAAGTGAATCGATGCGGATGCTACCTCAACAGTTGCATTGAGTGGTCCAATCCATGCTACCCAAGCTAAGAGGTGGGTAGTCTTGTATGCTTGTATATACAGGGTCTGGCAGAGACTCAGAAGACCGCAGCTGGCCGATGTGAGCCGTCCCGCCGGTCGCGTGATTGAAGGGATCCGAGAAAAGTCGGTCAGCTGTGGTCTGTCCTTGGCTGCAGGCAGCGAGGAGCGAGGGAGATATCAGTGCTTCAGCGTTGTGCTCGTGGCCGATTTCCCAACTAGTACGAAACCATGCGCCTCCAGGAATTGACAAGTGTCTGGCCTTTGGGACGCCAGGTCGCTTTTTGAAACTCCTTTCTAATGGGCCCGGGATCCCATGTCTAGGGCAGCATCACGCTCAGTCGATTCCCATTTCCACACTAGGTTTGCCAGCAGGAGGCTGCTACACGGATAGTTCCCCAGAAGTCTATGCAGCAACAAGTTCCGAAACTTTGATTGTACGCCAGCCGCTCGCGCATTTTCTAATATATATATATATATATACACATGTGTATACATATGTATATAGACATGCATTTCTATATATATATATATATATAGGTGGCAGCGGACCTGGGGTGTCAGGCGCACATCGGGACATCACCAACGGCATGACCAGATTAAGCTCAGGCAGCGACTTCAAAAAGGTGCGAGAGAGCGCGCCCGTGGTACACTCCCACAGGGGGGGAAACTCCCTACAGCTTCAAGTCGGGCCTGTCCCCTACAGGGGGATTTTCGACGACAAATGAAGAATACTCAAAAACATTCTAAAATGGCCACACATACTAAAAAATACTCCTCACATTATTTTTGGATTATTTTTCGATACTCCTCCTGTAGAGGGACAGGCCCGACTTAACCTTAGCTACCCCCCCCCCCCACACACCCCTGGAACTCCCCTGTCAGAAGCCCCGCCCTCCCTCTTCTTCCGCCCCTCGGAAGCTCTCCCCCTACCTGTCCAAAGGGGGGTCGAGCTTAGCTACCCCCCCCCCTGGACCTCGCTCCGGAAGCTACCCCCCTTCCGCACTTTCCAAAATAGGGGGGGTTTTAGCTCCCCCCTTTCTCTTTTTGAACCCTCCCTGCCGGAAGCGCCCCGCCCTCCCGCCCTTAAGGCTAAAGGAGGGGAGGCTTGGAATTCCCCCCGCCCCCCCCTTTGGCTAAAGGAACGAGCGCCGAAAACCAAAATGGCGCCAAAAAACCAACAGAGCGCAGAAAACCAAAGAGCCACCGAAAACCGAAAGGGTGTGAAAACTAGAGGGCGTCCAAAACCGAAGCAACGCCGAAAACCGAAAGGGCACCAAAAACCAAAACGGCGCCGAAATCCAACAGGGTGCTGAAAACAAAAGGAGCGCCGAAAACCAAAGCAGCGCCGAAAACCAAAGACGCGCCGAAAATGAAGAGGGTGCCAACAACCAAAATGGAGCCGCAAACCCAAGGAGCGCCGAAAACCAAATGAGCGCCGAAAAGCAAAGGGGCGCCGAAAATCAAAAGGCGCCGAAAACCTCATGAACGCCGGAAACCAGAGAGGCGCCGAACACCAAAAGGCTCAGAGAACCAGCGGGGGGCGCCGAAAACCAAAGAGGCACCGAAAAGCAAAAGAGCACCGAAAACCAGAGCAGCGCTGAAAACCAAAAGGGCGCCGAAAACCAAAGAGACCAAAGAGCACAGAAACCCAAAAGAACGCCAAAAACCAAAGGGGCGCCGAACTTGAAAAAAACGCCGGCAACTAAACGGGCGCCTGAAACCAATAGGGAGCCGACAACCAAAGAGTCGCCAAGCACCAAAAGGGCACCAAAAAAACAAAACGGCGCCGAAAACCAAAGGAGCGTCGGAAACCAAAAGAGCACCGAAGACCACAAGGGCGCCGAAAACCAAAGGAGCGCTGAAAACCGAAAGGGCGCCGAAAACCAAAGGAGCGCCGAAAACCAAGGGGCGCAGAAAACCAAAAGGATGAAGACAACCAGAAAAGCGCCGAACACAAACAGGTGCGCCGAAAACCAAGGATGCGCCGGAAAACAAAAGGGCACAGACAACCAACAGGACACCGAAAAACTAGAGGGCGCCGAAAAACGAAAGACCCGAAGATAACCAAAAAGGTGTCGAAAACCAGGGGGTGCCGAAAATCAAAGGCGCGCCGAAACCCAAAATGGCGCCGAAAATCAATACGAACGCCAGAAGCCCAAGGGGCGCCGCAAACCAAGGATGCGCCGAAAATCAAAGTGGCACCGAAGAACCAAAGGGGCGCCGATAACCGAAAGGGCGCAAAAAACCAAGAAGGCACCGAAATCCAAAGGGGCGCCAACAACCAAGGCGGCACCGAAAACCAAAGAGGCGACGAAAGCCAAAAGGGCGTCGAAAAACCACAGACGCGCCAATAACCAAAAAGGCGTCGAAAACCGAAGGGCGCCAAAAACCAAAGTCACACAGAAAGCCGAAGGGCGCCCAAAACCAAAGGAGCGCCGACAATCAACGGGGCACCGAAGACAAAAACAGCGCCGAAAAACCAAAGGAGCGCCGAAAACCAAAGGAGCGCCGAAAACCAAAAAGAGGCGTCGAAAACCAAAGGAGCGCCGAAAACCGAAAGGGCGCCGAACACCCAAGGAGCGCCGAAAACCAAAGGGGCGCAGAAACCAAAAAGGGGCGTCGAAAACCAAAGGAGCGCCGAAAACCACGTGAGCGCCGAAAACCGCGGAAAACTACATGAGCGCCGAAAACCAAAGTGGCGCCGAAGAACCACAGGGGCGCCGATAACCAAAAGGGCGCCGAAAACCAATAAGGCACCGAAAACCAAAGGGGCGCCAACAACCAACGGGGCACCGAAAACCAAGGAGGCGACGAAAGCCAAAAGGGCGCCGAACAACTACAGACGCGCCGATAACCAAAAAGGCGTAAACCAAAGGAGCTCCGAAAACCAAAGAGCGACGAAAACCAAAACGGCATCGAAAACTAAAGGGCAACGAAAAATCAAAAGGGCACCGACAACCAAGAGGGCGCCGAAAACCAATGGGGCGCCGAAACCCAGGAGAACGCCGAAAACCAGCGATGCGCCGAGAACCAAACGGTGCGCAGAAACCAGAAAGGAGCGTCGAAAACCAAAGGAGCGCCAAAAACCACATGAGCGCCGAAAACCGCTGACAACTAAAGGAGCGCCGAAAAAAAAGGGCGCCAAAGGCCCAAGGGGCGCCGAAAACCAAAAGGGCGCCGACAACCAAAGAGACGCCGATAAGCACAAGTGCGCCGCAACTCAACGGGGCGCCGAAAACCGAAGAAGAAAGGTAGCTTCGAAGCCTCCCTTCAGCCAGGGCCCTCCAGCTGAAGCCAACAGAAGGAAAAGAGGGGAGGAGGGGGGTAGCTTCGGAAGCCCCCCTTTGAAAAGGGAAGCCCTGGCTTACCCTGGGCCCCGAAAAAGGACCAGCTACAGCATCCAAACGACAGAAAGGGGGGGTGGGGTAGCTTCGGACCCGGCCCTTTCAAGGAGAGCCGGGGCTGACACCAGGCCCCGAAAAGGAGGGAGGGGAGGTAACTTCCAAGCCCCCACCTCCCTTTAGCTAGAGCCCCCCCCTTTCAAAATGCCCACAAACGGGAGGGACGGGGGGGCAGCCTCGGAAGCCCCCCCCCTTTCCAAGGGGGGGGGGTGTAGCTTGAAGCTGGGGCCCCCCCTTTTAGTGAGAAGTGTGCCACGAGCGCGCGCTGTTTCAAATGTGCGCTCGCGGTTGAAAGGCCATCCTCAACGACAAAGTTGCTGTCGTACCGAGCAGCATCGACCTCGCTCGAGAAGTGTGCCGAGCTCCTGCCTCCCCCCGAGGAGGCCGCCTCGACCAACGCTGCGTCTCTTGGAGGTCGGCCAGGCTGGAGCACGTGCGCGCTCCGGGCCCGGAGCCGGCGAGGAGCAGCGCAGCAGGCTCGAGACGAGGCGCGCGCCTCCGACAGCTCCAGCGAGGAGCTAAAACGGTGCACGGCCGTGCCAGCCGCTCCTTTTTGTCCTCGCGTTCTGAAGGCCGGGGTCGCCACATGGGGCGGCGTGCGGCACCGAGGTCCAGGGACCAAGTACTGAGGAGCGGCTTCCTGCTCAGCGTTTGCAGTCTCGGGCCAATGCACCTCAGCACGGTGGAACAAGTTTGCGTGCAACGGCTGCTCGTTCTTGGGACGAGGGTGCCAGGTTGGCGCTAGCCCCAGCTCAGACGTTCTGTTTGGTGAGGGGGAAGATGGGAGCGCACACGATGACCCAAGAAGGAATGCGACGTGGAGCAAAACTCAAACCGGACAGTAAGAACTGGCAGGCCTGACGTTTTAAACACCTGCTGATAGGAAAAACTGATCGAACTTCCGCCCCGCAGCGAGCCACCCAAGACAATTATTGCCCGGGCAACCTCCGCGCAGCAGAAAGGGTGGAGGAAGAGGACGGGAGGAAACACCGAGCGAATTCCCGCCACTGCCTAGGAGAACGGTCATCAAGCAAAATCTTGCGAGCGCGGAGCGATACGAAATTCCCCCAAATCGTATCGGTGAGACGGGGTGGAGAAGAGGGGAGGAGCCGGAGGGAGGCGACAGGGGAGGAAGGAGCTCAGCCAGGCCTCGAATCGAGGATAGGCCGGCACAACCAAAATGTCACACTGCCTGCTGCAGGAGCCAGCTGGGGAGGACAAATCCTGCCCCCTGCTGAGGACAGAGGCGCGCAATACATAGTGTGATGCCTCTACACAAAGGCGGCCACGGCTCCCCCCATGGCAGCGTGTAGATGACAGTCTCGTCCAAAATTGAAAACGGGCGGGAAGCAGCGCCAGGTGCCCTGAAACACACGATGGACAAAAAAGTGCCAAGCCGGAGAGGAAAAATAGGGGAACAAAAAGTGACATAAACATAAAAACTCGGAGGTCCGCGCGGACTTCTCGGATCGGCGCTGGGCCCCCCTCCCTGGCGCGCGGAGCGCGCCAGGGGCAGCGCCGGAGGCGCCGCCGGGGAGCCCCGGCGCCGATCCGAGAAATCCGCGCGGACCTCCGAGTTTTTATATTTATGAAACTTCTTGTTCCCCTAAAGAAAGGAGCGAGGATAATGAAACTGACAACGATGATCCCGAGATCCGCCACTGCAACGGGCAGAGCAGGCGCAAAATGTGCCACCCTGGGCGTCCCCCAAAAAGACCCCCAGGGAGGGGGAAGGAGGAGGGGAGGAGAGGGGGAGGAAGGGGAAGAAGAGAGAAGAAAGCTGTCCCCCCAGATGGAGGTGCCGTCGCAGGCCGGGTCAACGTCACCACAACTCAACAATCAATCCGGATTTTCAACCTTCGGGCTGCTCTGGGCTGCGGCGCTTGCGCACCGAGCTCGGAGGAGCCACAGCTGGAGCGCGGCCCCGCGCCCCTTCTCGCAGAAATCCGCGAATCGGCTCAGCGGCGGGGCCCGCTGCGGGAGCGAATCTCCGTGAGTTGCGCGTGCGGTGGAGCGCCGCATAGACACTCAGAGCGCGGAGTGAGGAGGCCCGGGCACAGCCCTCAGGAGGCGCATCGATCGGAAGTCGCCTCGCCAACGGGCGGAGGAAGAGGAAGGCGTCCAGCGCGAGGTCGTGCGGCGGCTGGTCCAATCGGAGGTGCCGCCGGCATAGCTCATGGTAGTGCGGGCGCCGGGCGTAATGCTGGATCGAGTCGTCGCCCCGCTCGCAACCCATCGCGTACGTCCCACATCTCTGAAACCGGCGAGCTGTCATCCACCCTTTGAGGCCGACCCGCAACAATGCCGCCAGGACCCGAGGAGGCATATGAAGCCGGATGTCCTGCGGCTGACGCCGGAAAGCTGCACAGCGGTGCCCAGGGAGCACCGTGGCCGGCCGGGCGTTCGGCGGGGTCTGAATGGGCCGGGAGCGAGGCCCTCAAGGCACGGGCCTGCCAACCCTCGCGTTTTCCCCTCCTCGGAGGCTGGGTCCAGGAGCGCCGAAGTGCGGCCCACCTGGTCAGCGAATGCCGTCAACGCGGAGTCCAGCGAGAAGAGGAAGGTGCTCGTCGGCCACGGGAGCCCGGGAGCCCAATCGGTGCACGCTCCCAAAGTCACCGAGGAAGGATCTCAACGAAGCAGCGCGGTCGTGCACCCTTCGGCCCCCGCTCCCCTGGGCCTCGTGCAACGCTATCCGCACCGTGACAACTCTTACGATCGAGCTCAGGTCGGCGAGGTCCCGGGGGAAGCCGAGGGAAGTAAGGTGCTTCAGCACGTCGCCCGTGATCCAGTCGAACGGCCCGGGAAATAGCTTCCGCAGGGCGCGGCTCTCCGTCTTGTGGAAGTGGTATCGTATGGTGTGGCTCGCGCAATCTCTAAACCCTGATAGAGCACTATGCCTTTTCCCTGTCCTGTGTGGCGGCGTGGCTTGTGGCAGGAAGCTCAAGCAATCGAAGCACCCAACTGGCATGCGAGCACAGGGCCCCTCGGTCGAGCGAGGCTTGCAGCGCTCAGTGCTGGCTGGGACGCACCTGACCCGATGCTATGGAGGGATCATAGTGGTAATGAGACCAAGATAGGTCAGTTGACGCCTGTATTACTTTTTGATCTGAAGGAATGTGGAATCCAGCGTCAGCATGAACGTGCATTGGCGCGCCAGCTCAATCTTCCTGCAGGGCACTGTTTGATTCGTGATGTAGTCTGCGCTCGGACCAGCAACCAATTTTCCAGATATCAGCGTTTTCTGTTCCGCTGTGCTGCGTGCGATGGCCTCTGGACATGGGGAAATCGAAAGGTACCAATACCGCTACTCCCCAGATCTCTCCTGGGGTGCGTTCTGACCAGGATTTCGAGGCGAGTCCAGCGATGGCGACGAGGGCCTCCAAGGAGGCCACAAAAAGGGAAAACGGGCGAAGGCTAGCGGTATGGGTACCTCTTCCTCCTCCGATGGGCAGAGGAGCGAGCGAGGCTGGCAGGGTGCATCACAACAGGTCGCTGCAGTTGCGGCCAGGTAGATAGTCTACGCCGTAGACCGTATGTGCTTGCACGTTGCCCGAGATCCAGCCAGCGAACGCTGACGCTGAGGTTTCAAATCACATCCTGGAGGCCGCCAGAGACAGCGATGCTTTAGCTTCCACCAGGGGTATCTTCGCCTATGATCCGTCTGAGGTTCCCACCAATTGCGCTTCCAGTGACTGTTGCGTGCTGGGGGGGGGGGGGGCAAAGGCGAGGAGATAATCCGTACCCCGCATGAAGGTGAACATTTTCTGATTCGGCGTTTCGACATTGGGTAGAAAGGGGGAGAGTGTGGCTCCGGACCTCTGTTACATGGGACTATTTGCAACAGTGCGTCCTATAGGGGAGGCTCCATCTGCTTGAAACAGGCGCCAAGACAGCCAAGATCTACTCCATGCGGGGGAGGAGCGGGAATGCGAGGGCCCGCGCCGATCGGCAAAACAACGAAAAAGATAACGTTATAAGAAGCTAGGAGGACTCTTTCGAGATCATCCGCCCATGGAGCTAGCGGCGGATGGGTCTTGCACAAAGCAAGCTTTAAGAGTTCTTAGGAGGCCCTCATGTACAATGGCGGGTTTCGAACCAGGCAGTGACAAGTTACTTGAAAATCTAAAGGGGCCAATCAGTGAAGCCCTCTCTCAGACACCCGCGTTTGCAGAACACCTCGGCTATGCATTGGCGGGCCAGATAGCCGACAGAGAAACTCATGTCAGTCTCGATTGTCTTGCTGTAGTATCGGATGCTCAAAAGAGTCTGGAGGAGCGGGTCCGCTCAAGCAATACACATGCAGCAGTCCGACACTTTGCTCTGCCACTGCCTGGCACTACCAACATCCAACTCACACGTCATGTCAAGGCCCATCGCAGTGATATGAAAAAGTCGAAAATTTGTAAGGGGATGAGTTCCGGTACGCAGTGGCCAATCGGGCGGCAGATGCACACGCCAAGACTGCCCTCGAGATGCAACCCCGTCTGAGCCCCGACTTTTCGAGAGGATCGAACTCCATCAGGCTCTTTGCTCAGATTCCTGAAGCTTGCGGCTGCCATCCTACCCCTCTGGCCCCACGAGCGCAGATGGGTCCGCCACAAGGTCAGCACTGTACGTTCGAGGAAGGTCGTGTCTTTCAACATGCGGAACAAGTGCGATCTAGGTCTCCAAAGTAAGCAGCGCGTGAAGATTGCAAGCCCTGAGGACTCCCGACCTGTCGAAGGATGCCGTGGGACTCCAAGCTTTCTGAGACGGCTCCTGGGGGACCCCAAGGGACACAAGGTTGTGGCGGTGAGTGGTTCTGTCGAGGCCCCAGGGCTTACGAAGGTCCCCGGGGACCCCCCAGGCAGCAGGTCCAACAGTTTCTTTGTGTGCAGAGTGGCGGGCAGTCTCAGGGCCACGGAGCCAAATTGAATAGTGCATGTTCGCCCCCAAACCTCAAGGGTAAAGGTGTCCGGCAAGCATTCAGAAAGGGTATGGGGTCCAACCCAACCCAAAGCCCAGGGCTGTGATTGACAAGGCACTCCAATTTTCGCGAGTAGGTGTCTGCAGCGTCACGGTCCGTGCCAACCACCAAGTTTCTATCGTCGGGACCCGTGCCCTGCAGGAGTCTCTGCCCCCACCGCAGGATCTCGAGGCCCCGAGCTACGTGATGCGGATGTTGCGACTTTCAGAAAGGATTCGGGCCACGGAGCTGGCCCGTCTTTCCTCCGAGGCATAATGTTATTTTTGTCTCAACCCGGTATTTTCATGTGGCATGTCGTCCCTCCGAGGCGCTGTCTTATCTTATCAGATCGTCCTCCTCATGCTCCTGCTCTTCCCCTCCCTCCCCACCTCCGACCAACACTCGAAGGTTGGGGACATAGGGTGGTTGGTCATCACGAGGAAACCTGACTCCTCTCCTTTCGAAACTTTCAGAAGGAAGAGGTTGTAGTCTGACGGGTCTTGCTTCAAGTATGGGCACAAATGTTCATATTTGTACTGGCTTGGCGTTCGTCAGTCTCACGCAGCACGGGGAAATCCATGCCTCGCTCTGTGGGAAAGTCGACCGTCTTCTACCGCAATCTAGCTAGCCATGCTGCGGAGCATGTTGAAATGCTGCCTGCGTGACAACACACTCCGCACTCGCATGAAATCTGCACTGGTTTCGAAAAACTGGCTGGTACCACTCAGAAGCCTCTGGAGGCCATCCGTGATCGGGGAGCCTACTGTGCAGGTGTGAAGCTTGTGGGTGGAGGGTTGTTGCCGAGGCTGCCTGAGCAGCTGCCCGTTGGTAAGGTGAAGGCCTGTATAGATGTGTCGAGATTCACCCCCCCGCAATGAGGAGCGGTTCCGTGCCAACCGCAACCACTGGCCGGGTGCTCTGGCCAGCTCGGCGGCGCTCTCACACGCGCGGCCCTCCGTTGCTGAGCTCGACCAATCTGCCAATGAATGTAAGATGTAAGATGTTGCCTCACCTTCGTGCGCAAGGCCCTGCTGCACTGGCCCTCACTGCCCCCCCCCCCTCGGCCGAAGGAACGGCCGGGCAGGAGGGAAGTCTACTGGTCGTATCCGCCGTGGACTCGCAGCACGGCGCGAAGCTGCAGGTGCAGCTGCAGCTGCTGGGTCGACCAGCCCCCTCCCTCCTCCTGCCCCCCCCCCCTCCCCCTCTTCCCGTGGGGGCCGCCCCAGCTGCGCCTGCAATCTGCTTCCCGTGGTGGGCACAGGTGGGGGGCTCTGTGGGCGGACCAGGTGGGTCTGCCGCACCTGCCTTCAAAAAGCGCAGCATGCTGGACCCCGCCCCCTTCCTCCCCCTCCTCCTCCTCCTCCTCCTCCTCCCCCCCCTTCGGCCGTGCCTGCCTGCAGGCAGGCCCACCCTGAGCTCCCGCGGGCAACGTTTGGACTGGCGGCCCAGCGTGCAGGCGAGGGGGGGAGGGGCGTTTATGTCTGCGTGCGTTGCGGACGCGTGGCTGGATCGGGACGGCCTGGCAAACTTGCTCAAGCTTGCAATGGTGGGCCAAGTCGCGTCCTCCTTCGGGTAAATGTGCAGCAAGTGTGTGAGGACGTCCGCCCCTCCAATGCCAAGGACAACTATTAGGTCCGTCAAGAGATCGCCCCAGCTTCACAACTTCCCTTGAGATCGTTGGAGGGATTGCACCACAGATGTGTCTCACCTTACCCCAGTCTGCTCAGCTTGTCCCAATGAAGGCCTTCTGGGCCTGGGACAGGGCGGTGTGCAGCACCCCTGGGGTGCCATTGTGAGGTCTAGCCGTCGAGGCTGTCTCCCTGGCATTGTGCGCGAATCTGGCCTTGCACTGTCCGCGCACGGCTAGCCGCTTGACGTGCCGCTCGGCTTGCCAGCTTTGCTCCTTCATTGTCGCACGTGGTGCAAGTTGTGTGTGTGTGTCTTTCGCCAGTTGCGAGGGCATTCGCGGCACTGCTGGCCCATCATGAGGACCCTGCTAGCATGTTCTGCAACTCTTGTACCCTGCTATCCAAACTTGTATTTCCACTGCTGAGCGCATGGCATTGGCTGGCGTTCTCCACAACAATGTCCACGGCCGCTTCCTTTAGTCTATCACCTGCGACCCGTCCGACGCGTGCAAAGGCAGATGTAGTCCCGACAGAGGATTCTTGGCCTAGGACAGGCTGGCTGCTCAATTCTTGGCAGGACTTGTGATTTCAATACTCAATCTCCTCCGCATCCTTCTCCTCTGCGGGCCAAGTGATTTGCCTCGCTGGGCCAAGCCGTACCCATATTTCAAAAAAAGTGAAGCGAGTCCGTGAAGGAATGCGCCCCTCCGATGCAGAAGGCATTGATAAGGTCCTTGAAGAGCTCGTTCCAAGTTCACAGCTATACTCCGAGTCCTTGGCGGGATTGCACCGCAGACGTGTCTTATCTTATCTCCCAACGCTCCATTATCACCTGCTCCCTCTCGTCGTCGACCCCCTCCTGCTCGTCCAACCTCCTCCTTGTCACCCCCCAAAACTATTCTTCCTCATCCACAGAATGATCGCCATCATTGGAATCACCATCATCATTGCCCACATCCTCCACTTGCCCTCCCCACCCCAACAGGAACCTCCAGACTCTAGGCGACCTATTCCTCTGGAGCCCCATGGCTCCAGACATATTCCCTGTCGCACCTCAACGGGTGTTGTTGGGGCTGTCTGGTCGTTTCGCCTGAGACCCCCTCACCACCTACGCCCTCAATCTTCAGAATTCCAAGAATCACGAGGATCGTGGGCGGGTCATTTTTAATGTGGGGCCCTCGCCTTGGCGCCGTGCACACCCGTCTGAAGCAGATCCATCAATCGGCGGCGAGCCCAGGAGCCCCGGGGGGAAGCGAGAAGGAGAGGGCCTTCTCAGAAGGCTCGGAAGTCCCCCTGCCTTCTTAGAAGCTTCCTAAGCCTTCCCCGAAGACACAGAAAATGTCTCAGAAGACGCGAGGGCTTCCGAGAAGTTCAGCCGCCTTCTGAGAAGGCCTTCTCCTCCTCACTTCCCCCCCTCGCTCGCCGCCGAGAAGCAGGTCCATCAATCACGCGAGGCCAGGGGTGGCGTTTTTGAACACTGGGCTCTCGCCTTGGCGCCGCGGACTCCCGCTCTGACGACATCCAGCAGGCGCACGGATGCATGGAGGGCCATGTCTGTGCGAAGCTGCGCTCTTTTACAAGTCCGCCGCCCCCTTTGGGGTCACGGCGTGTGAGATGCTCCCCCCGCCCCAAACCCCTCTCCCGGGAGCCCGGCCTGGCCAGTTTGGAGGGAGGGGGGAGGCAAGGTGCCGGCCGCACCCTCGGAGCCACAGGGGGCCCAAAAAGGGACAAAAGGGCCCCAAAAGGCCCCCCAGACGGTCCAATAGGGCTACGAGTCGCTTAAAGATCGCTCCAAGACGCCCGAGATTGCCTCCAGACGGTCCCAGAGGCCCCAAGACGCCCCAAGAAGCCACCAAGAGGCGTCCCAAGAGGCCCTCCAGAAGCAAAAATCGTCCCGTTCCCTAGGGGAACCATATAACTTGAGCACATTCGCCTCTTAGACTTTCACAAGGCCCGCAACGGCCCAAGAAGCCTTCAAGATTGACCCAAGATAGCCCAGAGGCACCCAAGAGGGCTCCAAGACGGCTCAAGAGGGCCCCAAGACGACAACAGAAGCTTCCAAAACGGCCCAGAAGGGCCCCAGGACGGCCCCAAGGCCCAGAGGGGGAACCCGAATGGACATGTCGAGCACTCGGCCCCGGAAAAACCTGAGGAGGCGCCAAGAAGCCCCCAAGAGGCTCCCACAAGGCTCCCGAGAGACCCCAAAGAGGCCCCTGCAGGCCTCAACACGTCTCCCAAGAGGCTTCAAAAGTGCTGCCAGGAGAGCCCAGAAAAGTCCAAGAGCAGAGCCGCGATCCGCCAACCGCCCCCGACGAAATAGGAGCTGCAACGCCCAAATTCCCTCAAAAATCGCGCGCGTTCCGCACACTCCGTTTTTTCGCTCTTACAGCCGTCCCATGGGGTCGGCGGAACGGCGACAGCCGATGAGTCTTCATACAGGCCGACAACCGGGCGCTCCAAGTGGCGCCACAGCTGCAGGCATGCGGAGCTGCCCGTTTTCGAAACGGGGCCCTCGCCCGAGACGCCATCGCGCTGTACCGCTTCACGGCTGTGGGAATAGGCTATGTCCAAATCTAGGGTGTATCGGCCAGTGGGGCCCAGGCCACCCCAGTGGAGATAGGGATCGGTTCAAGGATGCTCGGAGAAGGGAGAGTCGGTGGGCCTCAGATGGGGTCCCAGCAGGTGGGGTCGGAGGATTGCGCCGCATCGCCGATGCATCGGCGAGACACGTCGAGGGAGGCGTCCTCTCAGCGCGAGGCCCTCGCTCGAGACCTCCCTCGTGCCACGCATGCGGTCCGACGCTCGAAGTTCCAAGCATGCGCAAGATCCGCACGGGCGGCAGGCGGCCCTCCCTGGCGGCTGTGAGGAGGAGGAGGAGGAGCAGGAGGAGGAGCAGGAGGAGGAGGAGGAGCAGGAGGAGGAGGAGCAGGAGGAGGAGGAGGAGGAACAGCCCTGATGTCTATGTTGCCTCAACGAAAAAAAACATGTGAAGGAGGAGGAGGAGGAGGAGGAGGAGCAGGAGCAGGAGCAGGAGGAGCAGGAGGAGCAGGAGGGACCCCCCTCGGTTGTTTTTGTTTATGGCCTGCCAGCTGACACCGTGCCACTGCTGCACGGTCGAAGGGCCACTCCTCTCCCCGAGCCGGCGCTGCCGCCGAGCACTTCCCGGGACCCTCGCGTCCCTTGCCGACCAGCCATAACTGGGGGAGCTGTGGTCCTTACCCCCCTGGGGGAACCCATCGCATCGACGATCTCTCGAGAGGGGTGTCGAGATCGATGGGTCCCCCAGGGGGGTAAGGACCACAGCTCCCCTAATTGTGGATGGCCTGCCTTGCAGCCCGAGCAATGCCGGGCAGCTCCTGCGCAAGACGGGGCTCCCGTCTGACACTGCGGTCCCGTGGGGCGCTCGCCTTTCAGCGGGGGCGCGTCCCGCAGTGAAGAAGCTGGTTGCGGGGGCTTGCGAAGAGGCGACTTGGGGCAGGAGGGCGTATCGCAGCATTGCTGGCACATCCAGGGTTTGCTGGTCCTCCTCCGTCCTCTCCCTCTCTCTCTCCTCCCCCCTCCTCCCCCTGGTACTTGTACCACTGGGCCACCCTCCCACGAAAACAGGCGGGTAGCCTCCCGTTCGTCACCACGTTTTGATCCTGGGGAAGAAAAACGGCAGCCGTAGGCTTTCCAAGCCTGCGCCGCGATAGGAAGGACGGGGCCCTGGGGTCTGACACCGCCTGGCTGTACGCGGCCAAGCGGGGACAATCCAAGATCTCAGGGCTCCGTCACTCCTGCGGTGACGGATATAAAACCATGCAATGGCGGGGGGTGGTGGGTGCGGCGCGCAGCACGGTACAAGCCTGCCTGCTCTACGCCATTTCACCGCACTCGGATCACTTCGACCAAGCGGACCTGGGCACGGCGTCTACACGGGCCAGGTGGCCCGCCTGTTCGTCGTGGGCGTTTCAGGGTCCCGACCTTGTTGGGGCGGAGGCTTGGGCCGACACCTTCTGTGGGAGTGTCGCTATCTGAGCTGAGGCTGTGCGGAGGGGCATGATCGCGGCCTTCGAGCCTGCCGCAAAATAGGGACGACGTTCAGCCTTTCTTCCATTTTCTGGCCGCACGGCGGACCATACTTCGTGTTGCTGTCGTCGCGCCGTGAGAAGCCCGATTGTTGTGTGAAAGCGTTCGGCCGCGCAGCTGAGCTTCATCCGCTCTGTTTGCGCTTTTTCTCATTAAGACTCTCGTCTTGGCGGTAATCCTGGTAATATGCCTCCTTCCCCCCCCCCCAGCCTCCCCCATAGTTATGAAAGTGTGAGCGGCGCACCTGCGCGGCTATGATCGCGCGGGGGCCTACACATCTGCAGCTCGTGCGCGAAAAAGTAGAGACGACACACACGGCGCACAAAAAAAGGGAGGCCTACATGGCCCCGCTGGGAGCCGACAAGAGAGGGAGGGATGTTGGTATTCCCGCGTTGTTGCAAAATGTCTGCCCCATTCGGGTGAGCCACGCGACCGTATCATTAACCGAAACCGCAACAACGTATTGCTACTGATACGTGTGACCGACGCCACCGAGACAAAACAAGAACCGTTCCGCAATCACTCCGAGAACACACATCTGAACAACACAATGGCCACATATTGAAACACATGATGCTTCAAACGCGATGTCGTCATTGAGTGACGCACGTGAAAATCGAATGTGCGCGGCGACTCGGGCAACCTCGTGTCGAGTCTATTCGCGCGTAGGTCATGGTGCTTTCTGCTGACGTGCGCCCTCGCCGGAAACACGGTGGTATTTTTGTTACGACATCAGTGCAATCCAGATATTCACCCGTGCGAATGTATTTGCACTCTCGAGGACATGTCCACATTTTCGCATCCGCGACGAACATGTGCCCGAGTAGCTTCCTCACGTCCGCCCAGAAATGTTAACACCTTGTTTTTCCCACATACGGTCTTACCTTTCACATCACCATCGGCTGTGAACCACCAGAGAAATAGGGTCTATCTATCTGTCAGCTCGATTCGTAAACCACTGTTCGGTATACTGTGTGGCCTGTTGGGATAAGCAGTGGGCCACCGCCGCCAAAGCCATACCAGATAGAGAGAGAGAGAGAGACAGAGGCGAGCCTCAATGAGCGCAGGAGTCTTGGCCACTCGACCACTGTACTTACTCCGCGACCCCTTTCTCTTTGCACGCGCACCGTGAAAGCATGAAGCGTGCGCGAGCTGGCGCGGCGCAGACGGGCGGGAAGGCGGATCTGGGAAACGGGCGCCCGAGCGGACTCTGGAGGACAGCGGAGGCGACCATTGCGGGAGATTGGGATGGACGGGGGTGAACCGGCCTCTCCCCTCGCCCCTCCTCCATCCGCCTATCTCTTTCCTTGTTCTCCCGTCCTGCCAGCCCGAGATAGACGGCCGAACTTGCGATCGAGAAAAGCATCACTGAAGTAATCTGGGCCAGCTTCCCGAAACTGATGAAAACAAACCTGGGGCAACGCACTTATACGAAGGCGGGGCGAATGTGCTTCAGGAGATTGGCCAGTTTTCCAGGGAGCTGGTCTCGAAATGCTGGTCCAATGTTTCAGGGGGAGGTTCCTTAAATCAGATGATCGGCTGTATCCTCATCCCGCAGGTGCGCACAGGGGAGTGTCATCGAAATGCCCTCTCTGGCTCAACAGGTATTTCGAGAAACTTCCAGATTCTGCCTAATGCGGCTAGTGCCGCTGAAGAGGTTCAATCGTTTGTGGAATGAGAAATGCTTGTTTGTCATCTCTTAACGGAATTGAAAGAATCGCCCCCGTCCTGCAGCAATCTTATTGCGTAGCTCTGCACCGTAGAAGTCGTGAAAGGTGGACTTCCTTCCCAGATAGTTAGCAATCTGGCCAACACATACTATTTCGACGCTTCCGCCATTGATGCCGACATGGGTAATGTTTCGTCCTTCCCTCCAGCTGACGTTCGCAAACATCTTGGTATTGTCTGGGTGCAGACCACATGCATCTGCTCAGCATTGTACATTACGGGGTAGGCAGGAAACCTGCTGAATGTTCGAGGCATAGAGCAAGACATTGTCGGCGAAACGCAAATGTGTGATCTGCGCATGTGGTGCGAAGCCAAGCTGGATCCCCATATCCTTGCGTCGCCATGCAAGTTTCACCTGTCGGAAAACGCGCTCAATGACATAACTAAAAAGCAGAAAGCTCAGCGCCCCCCCCGTTTCAACCCCCACTCGATGCTGAAAGGTTTGCTGGTGGTGTCAATCCTGGTTGTTGCCGTCTGGGCGCAGTGCAGCTACTTCGGCGGGTTAATGTAAGCGGAGAATATATGTCGCCGCGCCGTTTGTTCTCGACGCGCCCAACTGGACGACGCCGACTCTACGGCAAACCCACCGCAACCGCTGCGTCCCGCGCCCCAAGTAGACGACGCCAACACAGCGGCAAACCCACGGCCAACCCACCGCGTCCGCGGCAGCGTTTGCCCTGGTGGCCGCGGCGCCTTCCCCCAAAACAGGAGGCCGCGCGTCGGAACAGACCGCGCGGCGACAGATGCTGATGCCGCGGAACTGCCAGGGAGGAAGGATGGGGGCGAGGATGAGAGCAAACCAAAGGGCGCAGGGAGGGCACGAAAGGGGAAACGCAGAAGGAAGGGAGGACGTGCGCGAAACCGTGAGAGGACGAGAGGGGGGGATGGAAACCGCGGGGAAGCGGGGAGGCGAGCGGAGGAGGCGAGCGGAGCGCCCGCCGCTCACGGCGGCGGCCCGTGGGTCGCAGCGGCGGCCGCGGCGGGCTTCTCCGCCTTCAGCCTCGCCTGGTCCCGCTCGTGCTGGTGGCGCGGCGGGGGGGGGGGGGCGAGGACGGCTGCGGGGTCCTTCCCCCCCCCTTTCCTCCTCGTCCTCCTCTACCGTCTCCTCCTCGTGTTCCTGCGTTTCCTCCTCCTCATGTCATTCCTCCTCCTCCTCCTCCTGCTCTTCCTTTTCCTCCTCCTCCTCCCCCTCTAGGTCCTCGAGGCCCGTGTCACACCATGGCACGTGGCACAAAAGGGGCTGTAATACTTATATGCAACGTAAAGCACTTCCCGGGCGAAAACCTTGGAGTCTGGGCCAAGCCAGCTACTCAGAAGGTTCGGGGGTATGCTGGCATCTTTGTTCCGAGGAACAAGATGGCACCTCCCGCCGAGGAGCCTGACGTTCTTAGTGCCGCCCGCCCCACATAAGCTTCACTAGACCCCATCCCCGCACCAGAGTCGATGCGTTGGGTGTGTGGGCCGAGCAGCTCTGGGGAGGCCTGAACATGGAAACGCACAGATGGCGCGTCGAGGCCAGTCTCTGGCGCCTCATCTCATGCAAGCGGATCTCGTACCCACCTTGATTATCTGATGCCCGTTCGGCCCAAGCACAACCTCGAGGACCTCGGCGGCTTCAGAACCTGTCCGGAACCTGCCCGCGTCGGCAACGTTGAGCCTGGCTAAGGCCCCACCAACCCTTGTTAATAGAAGGACCCGACACCGAACCTGGAAATCCTGGGCCTTGGGCTCATTTGTTCATTCAGGCTGGACCAGGTGCTGCTGCTTTCTGAAGTTGGCCACTCTGTCGGCTTCGCGATTCCGTCGCCAAGCCCACCAGGCCGCGCCTTGGACGCGAGGTTGAGCCCAAGACTGGTGACGTTGGATCTTGACAACTGTGACCTTAGCTGTGAGATCTGAGGCCTCGGTGAAGCGCTGTCTCCACAGCTCAGCATACGCTGCAGTATCTCGATTTTGCGGGGGGGCCTTGCCCCAAATGTCACAATCCATTTGGCAGTTACACGCAGGGGTAGAGGGGGCAGACTTTCCAGGGCGTAAGTCTCGACGCACCCAACCTGCTGGATGGGGCGGGGCAGGGGGCCGCGAGCCACCTCGTCAGAACTTCTTTATGGTGGTCAATCGCGACCACCCCCCACCCGGCGCACCCGAGCGCCAGGTCACCAGGTTGCATCGCCGATCCGTCGAAAACTACGCCACCACGAAAACATCCATGAAAAGGATCACACACTCCAGGTAACGGCAAAGTCCCACTGGGGGGCGGGGGCTTGGAAGGCCAGACTAGCGAGCAAACTTCGCGCGGCTGCGAGGCCGCACTGGTCTCCATTGACAGTGTATCCGATGGCCTCGGGGAGGTCGATTTCGCGACGAACCCGCCGAGCAGCAGGACAACCAACGAGCCGATGGTCGGGGGCGCACATTTCTCCGCAAATCTTGAATTTGTAGCAAGTGGTCCTTCGGCCCATGTTCGGAGTGCTCCAGGTCGGGCATCCTCCAGATACGGTGCCTGCCAGGAAAGCTGCTTCTGCCTTTTGACCTGCACTGCGAAAGTGCCGCGGCACTTCGATGAGGGGTTCCGCCTGCGGCGGCCCCTTTAGTACCTCGCCGTTCGCGGCGAGGCCGCCCGGGCCTCGAGGCAATGGAAACTCGGACCTGCCTGGACGATCATCTCGAGGGACCTCCTCTCGAGGTAGCCGAAGTCGCGCGCGGTTTCTCGAGGGCCCTTCCAGAAAACTGGATGGACTCGGTTTCAATCCAGCCTTCTGATGGGGGAACAAAAAACACAGCCAGCCCCGGGCCGCCAACCTTTTTCCAATAGATGTCAGGGGTCGGCGGTGGACAAACCTCCCTTTTACAAACCTCCCCTTAGCGAAAACGGCCCGGGACCGAAACCGACGGACTTGGACGCGCAAAAATGACGGTCGCGACGCCCTCTCGCGAACCAATAACGGCCAATTCCTTAATCGACGTGTCAGTGTAGGAAGTCTAACAACCTCCGAAGGGGTCCTCTGGCAGGCCGCAGAAATCCCGGACAACGACCTCCTGGGAAGCCACGGCAGGCGCCGGGCATGGGCCCAGGACCGGCGGGGTCGAGGGTGGGGCCCGCGCGCAATATGCCCTGGGGCGCCCTCGCGAAACTCCCCGGGTTGCGCGGCCGATGACAGCGCGCAGCTGAGCAAGCCGTCGGTCCGACGGCCCATGCGCGCGAGCACCGCGCGCCCTCCTGCAGGGCCCGCCCCCGCCAGTCCTGTGGGCGCGCTCGGCCCCGACCGCGGCCGAGCGCAAAGCCCGCAAACTACGAGCACGAGGTCTCGGCTCGCCGATGCGACCGATGTGAGACTTCGCCCCGAGATTGCCTGTGACCCTGATGCCGACCCCGAGGTTTTTCGTGGACTCGCTGTGTCTTACTCACCATGTACTGACACGACGCGCGGCCGCCTTCGACATGGGCCCGCGGGCGGCAACGGCAACCCCCTTGGTTATGGAAATCACTGAGCAGAGCTGCCCTAGCTGCGCGCGCAGAAAATAACTTTCACGGCCGGGCCCATCCGAGACGTCGTGACCTCTGCCCGCCTCGCATATGACAATGTCGCCCACGATGTCGACCTGCCCGACGCACGCGAACTCGTTGACCATGCGACCGAGAAGATCGACGAGAAGGACCCCGAAGAAAGCCGCAGCAGAGGTACGACCTGCAAGGGCCACCCGCATAGCTCGAACCTCCCTGGCAGCCATCTTGCGCACAGTAAGACGCCTCTCGCCACGGTGCACCTGGAGAACATATCTGAGCACGCACGCGTTGAAGCTGCGCCTGGCGGTCGCCTGGACCAGAAAAAGAGTGCGCAACCATCCCGCATTGACTGGTGGGGCTGAGGGGCGAGGAGAGAGGCCACCCGGACGTTCTGGGCGACCTCCCCCAAGGCAGACTGTTCCCAAACCGCGCGCCAGCAGGACATGCCAGCGACGCCGCGCAAATAATCTCAAACATGCCCCATGCCCCTCGAGGCGGCAGCATGGCGTAGCACGCGGGACAGCGCTGCGGCAAAAACAAAAAGGAGACCGACCGATGGGTCGGTGACCACCGACAGGTTCTCCCATCATGGCCACCAGAATTGCGCGAGGATGGCCGGGCCCAAGAACGCCCTGAGGGTGGCCTCCCAGAGGCCAGCCAGCGCTTCGCGGCAATCATCGCCGACGGCAAGAGGCCCCGAGGATGGGCGCAATCGGCCCCCGAAGCAGTCCTGCCCTCGCAGCTGGGGCGGATAGTCCTGGGCCCGAAGGCCCAGTTCAGGAGGCCCTCCCTCTCCTCTGTTCCGCTGCAGTCAGGGTGTAAAGATGTTGCTCTAAAGCCGCGATCGGATCATCACCAGGGCGTCGCCGCCCAGGCGCCCCCAATCTCTGCTCTCAGTCGTTGGTCGCAGATTCCACAACCTGTTTCGGCCATGGCGGAGCCAGGTCGGAATTCAAACGCGATGGGGACTCGGCGCGCGGACGACCTCTCCCCCCCGCAAGTTTGCGCCAACTTCTTTGGCCCAGCTCCTCCGCGCCGACTGACGCGCTGACACTTGCGCGCGCTCGAGACGGTCAGCACCGCGCCCAGCGTCTGCTGCCAGCTAGTGGGGCTGATGCGCCGACGCTGACTTTTGCGTGGAGCGCGAAGAGGCACCCGGCAGCCCAACCTTCATTCTTCCTACGGGTGCGAGGACCTCTAACACGCCTGTTAAATATGCGCCGCGCATCGTGCCCGAGCCAGGGGGCCCCCAACTCCAGGAGCCAGAAGTGGGCCGACCGCCAGCATCTAGCCAGGGCGCAGCCTACAGGCTAGGGCCCCCGACAGGATTTGGATTTCTGGAAGCATGCGAGTCTTGGCCCCTAAGGGCCTGCCAAAGGCCGATCCGAGAACTCCGAAAAAAAAACGACTCCAGGAACATCGGTTCCGACTCCGTCTCCAAGGAGGCCGCGAGCGCCTCCTGCTCGATCGGCGAGGCGCGGCGAAGCGACTCCCAGTTGGCCCGCGAGGGCGGCCGCGCGCGGGGCTGGCAGCGTGCGCCGGGGCGCCGCTCATGCAGTCGAGGGTAGACCTCTTTCTGCTTGTACGGTGCACATAACCATCATCCAACTGTGACGAAAAATCGCTGTCCGACGCAACGAATTGCCAATGCCCCCCACGTGTGGTGCGAATAGACCCTGCCACATCATCAATCCATATTTTACGAGGTCGGTGCGGTAATCGCTTTGACCGTGCATTCGTGTTGGCAGTGTCCCAAAATAAAGCCTTTCGGCTCCACTTATCCCTGTCGTCGCACGCAGCCGCCCCCGCAAGTCTCAGTTGCGTGCGCCTCTGTCGCAATACCCAGCCTTCGCGTCGCATTTCGTTGCAGCGCTGCTCGATATACATCGTCGCGCGCCAGATCCAATCCCGCCGTGCTTCAACGGCGTCGTCTCGAGAGTGTGTGCTCGATGTTGCGGTAATGTTTGTGGTGCTGGAGTCGGTGCTGCTGTTGTCGGATTCTGGAACGTCGCTACTGTTGTCGGGATGACATCGGCCTTTCGCTTCCGCGTTGATTTTTGGGAACCGGCGTCGCGGGGATCCATCCGAATGCCAGTCTGGGCACTCGGCGTTGCGTGGACCGCGCCCGCCATTCCAACGGGACCGCCACCGTCCAGGAGCCAGCGCCGTAAAGTGGCACGGGCGAGACATCGCCATCGAACAGCCGCATATGATCCTTCAGAGAGTACGACCGAGTGTACAGCTCTTGTTTGAAGATGCCTGAGATGCCAAATTTCCCCCATGCTGCGCTGATCCTGGAGGCAACCGCAACTGCCGTCGGATCGCAGAATGTAGCCTGACGACCAATATTTCTGGATAGCTTAGACAGGTAATACTTCGATGTCGGTCCCGTTGACGACTGCGTGCTCCGTGTGGCTTCTGGCCCGCCGCCCCCGCATGTCATGCAAGATCTTGGTCTTCCCTGGGTGCATCTCCGATGCCGCGGGGCGGGCGGCGACCGGCGCATCCGAAA